AACCCTGAAACAACTTCTGGACTGATCTAAGTCAGGGCACGGTAACTCACAGATTGAACCCTGAAACAACTTCTGGACTGATCTAAGTCAGGGCAAGGCTAACTCCCAGATCAAATTGAAATTTAGCTTGTTGATTTTCTCAAGGAAGGAAAACCCCTTGAATCAAAGGAGAGACAAAACAAACTCTACTCACATGTTAATTCCAGTAATCAAACCCATGCTCCCAAGATGAGAAGCAAGTGCACATCTCCTACTCAGCCTTACTTTTATCTGGTATTCCAATACTTTTGGCATGAGGTGATGATGATAAGAGTCTTCATTATTGAATTTTTTCAGCCATTACGACATCCCAGGCTACCGCTGGTATCGTTGCTGCAATATTTTGTGGCATCGTGTTTCTTGGTGTTGGTGCAATGAGGTGCGTCATGATGGGTGCTTGTCAACGCTGTCAGAATGAGACACCTGAAAATAGAGAATGTGTTGGAACGCATGAAACTGTTAGTAACTATGTTATGGATTGTCCTCCGAGCTATAGGACAGGTTAGTTACCTGTGGGAGGAATACTATTGGGTGGTGGTGTACCCCTATAGGACAGGTTAGTTGGGTGTCTGTGTACCCATATAGGACAGTTTAGTTACCTGTGGGAGGATTACTATTGGGTGGTTGTGTACCCATATAGGACAGTTTAGTTACCTGTGAGAGGAATACTATTGGGTGGTTGCGTACCCATATAGGACAGTTTAGTTACCTGTGGGAGGAATACTATTGGGTAGTTGTGTACCCATATAGGACATGTTAGTTACCCGTGGGAAGAATACTATTGGGTGGCTGTCCTATAAACTGTACAATGAATATTAATTTTGATTGTGTTGATCAGAACAGTAACACGTTTCACTGTCATTACACTGTAGTTATGGAACACCCAGAACGTTTTCCAACGCCAAACATAACGCCTCATATCTCACCAACATCAACCCCTCGTGCATCACATTACTGTGAGCAAAATGAAGTGGATGATGACGACAGTGAACCACCTCCACCATACTCCAGGGTTGTTCCACTAGTACAAGATATAGATACAGCAGGAACTAGTGGAAGGAATGCTCAAGAAATACATGTTGATGTAGAAAGAACAATTAACCCTGTCAATAGCAATATAGAGACTGTAATAATTCACAATAATCCAAGAGAGGCTGAATTAACCGATACAGAAACTGAAAGGCCATCTGCTAATAGACGAAATAGTTATAGTATTGCTTCGTGTGAAAATCCTGTTTTGTCGCCAAACCCAGATCTACAAAGTCTTGAAGAACTTGATTCTGATAACAACAATGATAGATGTAATGACAGACAATCAACAGGGATGAGATCTGTCGATCCAAGGAATACACGTACAGGTGATTCAAATGGTTCAATAAGTATTATGGACGATAATAATGAACCAATTTGTAACCATGACAATGAGCCTAATGATATTGGGTGTCGTAGTACTGTGGCACAGATTACAGAACCCCCTATAAATGGTTACATATCGGGTAGAGGATGTGGTGGTCCTAGACGTGACCATTCAACACAAACTGACGCTGCAATTAGCAGACGTGGATATAATGTGTGATTATAGCGTTTGTAATATTGCATTAATAATGCCTCTCTACCTTTACTTCCCACTTGCTCTAGACATTACACTCTATTTTTTAATCTCTCTTTATATATATTTTTGGACCGAGTGGGAAACTAGTACAAAACCCCTGAGTAGGGTAGGGTGGGTAGGATATTGGACAAACTAAATCAACCAAAAATAAACATTGACCAAGGGAAATGGAAGGACTGCTCAAAGACTATATTTGCTGTTAGGTTGCTATAGTAACTAATGGTTTGACAATGTTTTTTGGTTATGAAAACTTTATGCGAAAATTTTCTGCACAACTTTTGTTTTTCTCTACTATTATAAACATTTTAAAATGTATGGTACTAAATTAATGATTTAGAGAAAAGAAATGTTCATGCAGAGCTGCCCCGCTGCTGTGGTGACTAGCGATAACAAATTTTTGAAACAGCTGAAGAACTGATGCATATGATGCAACCTGATTTGTGCTGTGCTGCCATAGCAACAGTAGCATGCAGATTATGCTGTGTTCGCATTCCATGCTTCTGCGAAAGCATCTGTTTTCACCTCAAATTGCAATGCTGTTGTTGCTACATTTATTGTGTGTGGTATCTGTGGCTTAGTGAGATCTCTCTTATAGAGAGCAATGTAACATTTTCCCCCAAATCCACAGGAATCCCCATGAATTAATTAAATTTAAGTGCTAAAAGTAAATTATTTGGGGGACGTTCCCCCTCGTGCCCCCATCTCTACACAAGTGTGTGGTATAAACAATTATCTTCGCAATCCATTTTATCCTTGGACACATCAAATGCAAGAGAATAACATACTATTAAAGTAATTGTAAAAAAATATTGGTAAATATTATCCTTCAAATTTTTATATTTTTACAGAAAAGTTATTAAATAGATCTGATGTATAACAGATACAACTTTAAAAAGTTCTGTATTCGTTAAGGTACCAACATAAAATTACCTGACAAATAACATCTCCATGGTGTGGTAAAACACTTTTAAATCTAAAATAAAAGAAACGAGAAATATCAAATGAGTTAAACATTTTTAACAGGTACTGTTTAGCATAGCAGCAATTTTTTTTGGAATTCTGAGGAGATTAGTCGGCTATCCCTCCTCCTCCCCCCTCAGGATCAATGTGACCTTGACCCTCACTCCTCCCCTAACTGTCGGACTAAGTGACGGGCTTGTACCCAGTCACAGTATTTATCTAAGGATTTCGTGAGTTCGCGGCGTATGAAGGGAAGGAAGAGAAAAGCGAAAAAAAAGCCTTCACGCGCATTACAAAAACGTGAATGACGAAAGGGAACGAGTCTGGTCGAGTGACGAAACGAACGCCTCAAACAGATTCGCGGGGATGTATGACTCGAAGAAGCTTTATTTGTGGGTTAAAAGGTTTCCGTAAACGTATCTCGTAATGTCCATCGTTGTAAAAAGATACACACAATGTTGACGGATGTGAGACGGAACAATGAGCCAAACAGAATTACACTTGAATTACTAGAGGAAACAAGATCTAAATCAGGAAGGGATTTTCATTCATCATGTTTCGTTTTCCCCACACAGTTTACTAAAGCTATAATGACTTAGATGAATGAGCTGAGACCCGTGAATCCCATTGTTACTATGGTCAAGATTGTTAAGTCTCTCGGGAGTCTCTCCTTGATTTGAAAACCTAATAACGCCCCGCTATTAGTTCAAATTCCATGCTCGGACTAGAGGTAACCTGCTGGTAGAGAATCAATACAAAATTGAAGGTTGAAGATCAACTTTCTTCCATGGTCGTGACGAGGGATATAGTTTGTGTGATAGATTCGAGATTTGTACAGAAACGTTTTAAGTTGATTCCTGACCTCAAAAGATTGGCTCCTCTTCTGTGATGCCTGATCAGGGGTATCTGATCCCTGATCCCCAAATCCTTCGTCATGATATGACCGAGTTCATCCAGAGTAAGGGGGCGGTTCCCATGTAAAATAATACTTCATGACCTTGAACCATAACCTAGCATATGTGATCCATTAACTCGCTTCACTCACGCAATTCATCCATGCAGCCAGCCGGGCAGCCAGTCACATGTAAAATATGTTTTACCCTATCAATGTGAAAGCATCAAATGAGAGAAGCACATGAATGAGATGGAAATATCAATAGCGAAAAGAAGATTTCTAAACTCCTTGAACAACCTCCTGCAATCCCGGAACGTACCCCCGCACGGCGGAGAGTGTGTGTCGATGCGCAGACCGGATATGATTACACGAGGATTTTGAGCATCAGCTTACCTTGACGAACTTACCGCCCGGGACTTACCGCCGTTTTTTATAAACTCCTTCCTAAAATAAAATGAAATAAATGAGGTTTTATCATGATGAAGGCTATATAACTAGACTAGACTCAATTATGAAAGTAATGTTAAAGCAAGCCGTTTTTGAATCTGTAGATAAACACATCAAGAGAAAGGTGTTGGGTGACGGATGAAGCTTTCTGCTCATTGGATGAAACAACGATTACAAAATCAATGTCACTTGATGTGGACCATATACAACTCGCATCAAATAACACCAAAACCACCTCTGAACAGACCTACTTTAACGGGGCTAAGGTTATTTTTGGTTTCAATCCAAGGGAGCATTGTCTCCAGTTGTTGAAGGATACCATCAGTTTTGATCAGAATTGCTTATCAAAAAGCAAAGTTTCTCTACTGTACTCAGTAAATATATAAAACAATTGTAATCTGAGACGTTGGAGTACGTGAGGCCCGTATAGACTTGAGGTAGCGCTTGGTTGAATAGAACAAACGGTCTGCGAATACTTTTATTGCGCATTGACTAATTTGAGCACTACGTGTTTCTATCCAACCATCTTTCCTACAAAGCAGCTTATCTGAGCTTGTTGATTGAAGAAAACATGGCTAAAGCAGAAGTTGAAAATGGTGAAATCAATGTTACGATTACAGGCCCCGCGGATGAGGCTCCTAAAGTCGAGGTGCAGGACGAACGAGGTGGATGGGGTAACAAGATAGAGTTTGTCTTAGCTACTATTGGTTATGCTGTTGGCCTTGGAAATGTGTGGCGTTTTCCTTATCTATGTCAGAAGAATGGTGGTGGTGAGTATGGAGTCGTTGTTGTTATTAAATGATTTGACTACTTCAACTTTCTGTGACTTCTGCCCTGAATAGACTGTTAAGACCACGATGGTCTCGCTTCTTTATATGTGTGCTGATTCCTGCCAAACAGGTTTTCCGACTGGTTAATCTGTTTTGCTGAGGAGCTGGTTATAACGAGGAAAGCACACAGAGTTAAATCGAATACAATACAAAAGGTTAATTGTACGTTTACAAAGGTAGAGTGTAGTAAAACATACGTAGTGAGGATCTACGGATGCCTTGAAGCAAAGTCCCACCAAAACCGCATCCATGGAAAATAATACTTGAAAGCCACATGCACTGTGGAGTTGTTATAAAAACTGCAATCCAAACAAAGTAACCTTCTTATGCAAATTATTCAAAAACAAAGCTTTTAAGGTTTTATTTTAATGTATCTCTTGTCGTACCAACAACAAACGTGGTGATACTTTATATATGTCTAGTCTGACTGGATTACGTTAGAGGGTGGCGAGGGACTAAAAATACTACCCTACATCTTCATTACACGAGACAATTCTGGCTTTTTTTCACGATCAGTCCAGTTTTCTGGCGTTTATTTGCATTTCACGTAACTTGGCAGGTGATTAAACAAAGAAAAATCGTTAATGCACAAAAAACTATTAACTAATATTGTCAAAATAGTAGTGTAGGATGTTGGAAAAAGTATCATCTGAGTCTGTTAGGAAACTCTTCCCACACCAGGGTTACACAAGGCACACGTAGGCAACCAGCTTCATAATGATTCAAATTGTTAGACTTATAGCTAATCTCTATTTATTCAACATGTTTTCTGGATATATTTCATATACGGGCTTTGATGGGTCGTATACCGTATAGTGCCGGGTGATTGCAGGATATTTTCGGGCTATATAGGAGAAATATTGAAATCAACCGCAACGTGACCAGTGTGATATGCCGTAGTTACTTGAGACACTGTTGACCACATGACCTTTTCATCTAAACTCCTGAAATAACAAAACAGCTTTACATTTCTATCTGTTTTTAAAACAGATATAAATAAATCAAAACTTGAACACGAGGTAAAGGATTTGAAAGCCTGTTTAACAGGAATCCTTTCAATAAAAGAACCGAGATGAGATTGAACTCATAGAGTAGAACAACGAGCTGTTAGGAAGCATTACAAAGTATCCACTTGGTAGAGTGGGTTACAAGTCAGTTATTTCACAACAAGAGTAAATAATAGACGAGATTCAGCCTTTTATTGAGTAACCGCATTAATAGGCGGTTGACCTGACCCTGTTTTTGTAACGTGGTTTGCGAACGTACGATATCAAAGTCACGTCCTTAGAGTCCCGAGCCTAGAGTATTGCATAAGTTTATCCTTACGGCTGCTCAACCTTCAGCTCGATTGGTGGTCGATCTACGGCGGATGGACGGATTAATAAGGGGTTGTGGTCTTTTCTTTCCTGTGTCCAGCGTGCCTGATGAGATGTAAATTAAACTCGGGGATTTTTCCTTTCTTTTTGATTTTATTTTCTTCTTCTTTTCTTCGTCATTTCTTTTTTGTCAAACGCATGGAGTTCATTTGAACGATTTTTTTGTTTTAAGCTAGAAACCGTAAACTCGATGACACTAGCTCTATTTAAGTCTAAATTAGAGACCTAGGGTTAGGGTTAGGGTAGTATAAGGATCTTACAATCTTGAATATATTTTTTATATTATTTATCATTATTTATTTCGTGATTTGCAGATATTTATGTTTAGCTTTATGCAAAACTAATTATTCGGGGCTTTTTTTATTTTATATATTTTTAGTATTTTTTATATTTATATGTAGCTATTTTGTTTTATAGTTGATGTGATATCTTACCGATTTTATCAACTCCATAAAATGTAGATGTAGAAGATCTATCAAAGATCAAACCGTGAACTGTCAATTGAATTCCTTACTAGAAAGCACATAATAAAATACGCTGTAACTTGGCGAACGATAGGCCCAGATATCAGCCATGCGGACATGTAACCAACACACAGACCTGGCAAAGCTAATCATATTATTGTGTAATAATTATGTCACGTGATGTGTTTGTTTTCAGGTGCCTTCCTCATCCCATACGTACTGTGTCTTGGTCTTCTAGGGATTCCTATCTTCTTCCTGGAGCTTGCAATTGGTCAAAGTGTTCGACAAGGGTCCATCGGAGTATGGAACTATATTCATCCCTACCTGGGAGGGGTGGGGTTTGCTTCTGTCATGGTCTGTTTCCTGGTTGGCTTATACTACAATATGATCATTGCTTGGTGTTTCTATTACCTGTTCGCTTCCTGGCAAAACCCTCTGCCATATGGTGATTGTCCTAATATAGCAGTAAATGGTACCAACATCACCAAGGTGTTAGAGTGTGAGCTGGCGGGCAGGACTCAGTATTATTGGTATAATAATGCACTGGAGATAACAGATTCTATTGAAGAGAGCGGTGGCGTACTCTGGCATATGGCATTATCGCTTCTCTTGGCTTGGATTGTTGTCTTTCTGTGCATGATGAAAGGGGTGCAGACCGCTGGCAAGGTACGTCATGATACTGCATTCATTGCTTCTGAGCCTGCGATCCTATTGGTATATCTGCCAAAAAGACTGGAACTAGGGTTGGGATTGGATAATAAAGACAACCTAGATCGCAGGCTCAGGACACATTTCTGTTGTTAAGTGCAAGACATATCCGTGAAACAATTACTAGCCATTCAGCGCTTAAAAGTATTTAGTTATCAAGTATTTAGTTGTAAAATAGCTAAGAATTTACTCAGCATAAACCAGACTCGTAGAGATATTTGCTTTTCGTTCCCAATATAGGTTGCTATCAATAGACGTCACTTCCGGTAATAGCTACGTTTTTAATGGCTTGTAGAATCTTGGAGGTTGTTTTGATCTCTTGTTTTCTGGTTTTATGTCGTAGAAATAGTCAAATACAATAGTTTGAGGACTTATTTTGACATGTTTTGACTTAACATCCGCTAGTTGCCCCCCAGTCAACCGCTCGTTTGCCCCCCAGTCAACTCCAAAAAGTCACGTGATTGATAGTAAGCAATTCTGCACCACGTGATTGTCTGAAGTCTTTGTAACGCAATCTTTGCTTGACTTACCCACGTTATCTCGTATTATATAGGCGGTGTATTTTACAGCTACATTCCCGTATCTTGTTCTGTTCATCTTCTTCTTTCGTGGTGTCACGTTGGATGGTGCCGGGGATGGCATCGCTCACATGTTCAAGCCACAGGTAACCCAATTATAGTCATTTCGACATAAGATTCGTGAGCCGCCATGTTTTTACTACACAGGTATCCCGTGATACTATTTGTTGTTTTTTCAGTTTCACAAGTTACTGAACCCTCAAGTTTGGCTTGAAGCAGCCACGCAGATATTTTACTCGCTTGGTGTAGCATTTGGTGGATTAATTGCGATGTCCAGCTACAACCCTGTACATAACAACTGTAAACGTGACGCCATCATGGTGTCCTTGATCAACTGTGGCACGTCTGTCTTTGCAAGTATTGTTATCTTCTCCATTCTTGGGTTTAAGGTAAATGATTACTCCACGAAAACATTACGACAGCTCTATGACGATAATACGACAACATTACGACAGTAATACGACAACATTACGACAGTAATACGACAACATTACGACAGTAATACGGCAATGTTACGAAAGTGGGTACTGACAAAAATGTTTACGCATGTTGAAAAAATTAAGGAAAATTCCCGATTCGTAAATGTGTATACGCGAGTTTACACCAAATTATACTATACGCTACCAAATTATATACGAAGTTTCTTATTAATTTTCTGAGAAAAAAGGGGAGCACGTTTGAAATAAATTCGTTTAAACCAGTAATTCGCACACCAGTTTCGACAATAGTTCAGGTGCTTACATAGCCGAAGATGCCACGAAAACACTCAACGACATCCTACGACATGGTAACTTAAGATTCGACGATGCCACGAGAGTATTACGACATAACGTTGGCGCTTAGCCAAAGCCAATGGAGTGTTTCTGATCGATCTTGTCGTTCTCTACTGTTTCAGGCCCATACATCATACAACAATTGTCTATCACTCTATGCCAACGTCGCGTTACCTGGCAACGAAACCATTACGGACAAATGCTTCGACTTGGAGAAATGGCTTTCTGAGGTAAATATCCTTGGTTGCCATGGTTAGGAAACCTTTTTATTTAACCTTTCTTGTTCTTCTTGTTCTTCTTGTTTTTCTTGTTCTTCTTCTTCGACAACGATCGTCTTCTCTTTCTAATCCTTCTTCTTTGTCCTTTCATGAAGTTTCTCATCTTATTTGACATTGCAGCGTGACGTAATCTTTCTCGTTGCTTGGTAACAAGCTGTTCTTTTTATATTTTCCTGCAGTCAGCACAGGGACCCGGACTAACCTTCATCGCCTTCACAGAGGCCATAGTCATGATGCCAGTCTCTCAACTCTGGGCTACACTGTTCTTCTGTATGTTACTCACCCTTGGTCTTGGTAGCATGTTTGGTACTCTTGAAGGTGTCATTACTCCTCTTTATGACCTCAAACTTGTTTCGTGGAGAAAGGAATTCGTCACAGGTAATTGAGCATTAGCCTTGTAAAGATAGATCTGCTCCACTTGTCATAGCCTCCTTTGAAGGCAACTCCTTGGGGTTCCTGTGCTTCGAGGGTTTTTCCTCCCTCAACAAAAATCAAATCTATCGGCTGCCTTATCAATTGGGTTGCAAAACCTGTTAGGCATTACAACATCCACCCAGGAGATCGAGTGGTAAACCCATTTTTTCCGTTGGCGTAGACCGTGAGGGGAATGAGGACCAAAAAGCGAAACACAGGCAGGAAGCCCAAAGTCAGAAAGATGTCTACGGAGTTGACCATGCTTGTCATTATATTCTGAACTATTCGTCGTATATTTGCAGCTTTCATTTGTGCTGTGTCATATTTGATAATCCTGGTATTCTGTCATGCAACCGTCATGCAAGGATCTTGTGTCATTCCCTTGAGTATTATTTCTTTCTTCATTATATCAGTCTAAACTACTCCTCGTATATTTGCAGCTTTCATTTGTGCTATGTCATATTTGATTGGCCTGGTGTTCTGTCAAGGATCAGGAGAATACTGGCTGCAAACCTTCGATTCTTACTCAGGGACCTTGCCTCTTCTCGTTATCGGGTTTTTCGAGTTGGTTGGCGTCAACTGGATTTACGGTGCAGTCAGGTAAGAATGGGTGGCTCTATTGAAGCTTTTCTCATTTTATACCATGTGTCATTCCCTTGAGTAATATTTCTTTCTTTTTCACAAGATTTGAAGATGACATCGAGTACATGATCAAGTCTCGTCCAGGTTGGTACTGGAAGATCACGTGGCGGTTCGTGTCTCCCGTCATCGTAGCGGGTATTATTATTGCAAGTATTGTAAGCATGTTTTTGAAGACGATGACGTATGCAGCATGGGCTCCAGCAAAGGTAACTACTACGTCAAACTTATTTGCCCAGCGGTTGAATGTTCAAGCATGCGCAACTAGTATTCTCGCCCCAGGCTCTGTGTTTACTTTGGTTTTTAACAAGAATCTGCGATTGATAGGTCAATGTAATTCTTTCATATGATGGAACCAGAAAAACCTGTTTCTTGACGGAGACCAAAAGTAACGCAGACTCTGCATAGAAACGAGGCTCTTGTTCCCAGACCTCTCAATCAAATCCTGATAAAGTTAGTCCTTTATTCCAGGCTGATGTTGTAGACACTGAGTTTCCTGTTTGGGGGTTCGTCGTCATTGCTCTACTTATTCTCCTCTCCACCCTCTGCATTCCCATCGTGTTCTTGGTGAAGAGATTCAATATTGTTAAGTTTGACGTGTCGAAACAAACCCAAGATGAGATCATCCCACCTGGAGCCTTGACTCCTAACCTGTCACGTGCTCCGATAGCTTTGACCGAAGAACCAATGGATGGCGCGGAAATGGAATAGAACCAGTCCCTCGCGGTATATTAAACAGCATTTACATGACAGGAGTATAATAAACATTTCTATTACAATGACGTCATTGTTTTGCTGTTCACGTGACTGGTAACAAGCCATTGCTCAGGGACCAATTTAGACCGAGTTGACCCGGGTTGGAATCTAAGCAAAGAGGTGACATAATGTCATATGCAATAGTAATTTGTATTCATTTAACTACTGTTCTGGCACGACTATGGCGGCCATTTTGTAAAGTGAGCAAAAAACTGGTTATGTATAAAAACTCATTACGAGACCTCACTCGTGTTTTACGCAGGCCTGGTTACATTTCAAAATGGCCGTCGTGGCGGTACGATGATAATTATGATATAAATAAACCTTGGTGATGTTATTGATTGATTAAGAAATGAAGTTCTTACCATATCAAGGCCTGCATGGGATGAAGGCCAATATATGGCTAGAATCATTTTATTTATCTTTTGCTGTCATTTATTGCTCAAACCTCGCCAAAATTAGCACGGACACTTCAGGTTTTAGGATGAAACGTTTTTTTGAGATGATGCGGTCACGTGACCTTGATCCTCATCTCCGTGCACCCAAAAATTTTGAATTAAAACGGAGAGACGATTGTCATCTGTACATAAAATATTTTGATATATTCTCATCCTCCCTATTATAACTAGTAAGTCACGTGATCTATTTTGTGTAATATCCCCTTAACGAGCATGCGCAATGGTAGTTCAGATTCGTCTTGAAAATATGCCATATCACTTTATGTACAGACGATAACCATCATCCCTTTTTTAATTTCAAAATTTTGGGTAGCAAAAAATCTTAATCTCAAAGTTGTGGCCATGCCAATAAAGGAAAGGATTGAATAGAAACGAAAACGTAAGAAAAACAAAATGGTTCTAGCCATAGATGGCCTTCAATTCAGGCCTTAACATGCTTGAGCTACCGATGTTGTAGCTTTATTACTCGATGTAAAATTAGGCGAATTCACAGAGAAAAAATTATAAATTTAGATTGAAATATTCCAGTTCTTTTAGTTAGGTAATGGTTCAGCTGTATATACAGTGGCTCAGTCTTGTATTTCAAGATTCGGTAACATTTCTTCTTTTTCTGGAGCCGGCTTTTTCTTTTATAAAATTAAATGAGTTTCCTTTCAGTTAAATGGGTTTCCTTTCAGTTAAATGGGTTTCCTTTCAGTTAAATGGCTCTTGCCCGTTAAACGGCTTCCCTTTTAGTTAAATGGGTTCTTTGCCAGTTGAATGGGTTCTCTGCCAATTAAATGGGTTTCCTGTCAGTAGCAATGGTTTTCCTTAATTTTTGAATTATTTTAAGAAAAGTTTTCGATTTGAAAACGTTAAGGTTTTCATTTGTCTCTAGAATGGAGAGGAGCCTGAGAAGTCATAAACATTTATCTATTTTTAAAGCATGACTGGCTTTGGTAGAATGTTTGCTTTTCTACTGATCACGTGACTAACAGCTGGAAGGATCGATAATATAAATAGAAAACAAAACAAATTACTTTATACAAACGCTTTTGTAAAGAAAATAAACAATATTTTCAATATCCCATAATAATCGTGCTCAATCAGTTAATAAACTTAGTGCCTCAACTGTCTTTCTTCTTCCATGTTTGGTTAGAGTGTGGGCGGCATTCCTGCCTAAGGGGGGTAGGCATAGGAGCCTTTTTGATTTGGTAATTTTTCATGGAAAAAGTAATTTTAGAATCCAATGATTTCGGCGCGTTGCTATAACCACGTTTTTACCTAATGACAGGAATTACTAATGTGCGACCTTCATTGTCGGCTTTTAGTCCTTGTGCGATTAACTTGTTGTTTTTTTTATTCTAGAAAAAGGTTCTTGTTGGTTGGTTGGTTGGTTGGTTGGTAACCAAGTTTAGGGCGCCTGTCCAGTGATTACCATTAAATATTAACACAGACCTTGAATAACTAATGCGTTCTGTCTTTTCACACAATCTACTCGATTAAAAAAGCTATAAAAAACAGCTAAAAACGACCAGAGTCAGATGGTGTCAGATATGGTGTCGATCCAAAAATGATCTACAAAATGCTCTGTACTCCTTGCAAGGCTTGATATCAATATAAAACCTAAACTAAACTTTAGATAGGAGAAAGTTCTTCACAATTAAAGGGTTTCGAATCAGGGGATCTAAACATCACATCAAAGAAAATAAACAGCGGTTTTAGATTTATGGATGAATGGGTTATCTACTATCACAGGAATCTCGTGCCACAAATATCTTAGTAACACTCCCATATATCAGTTTATATTGGGAAAAAAGCGAGGATTTGTTGTGATATTGTCACAGTTCCTGGATTAATGCCACGTACAGCTAGAATGATCTTTTGTCTCCATGCCACGCTGCACCTGATAGACGCTGTGTTTACAGTTTAGTCACTGTAGTACTGTAGTACTGAAGCGGTTCTTAAATATATTCAAGACCAAAAAAATTGGAAAGGCGAAAAAACTTCTTCTTTGAAAACTCGACAAAACTTAAACTTAGAATTAATCTTTAAAGCTGTAAGGACAAAAAGAGGCGAGCTGGGATGGCTAGAGCCACTAAACGCGATGGAGAGATCATGGTATCGCTAGTAGCAGAAGGAGAAAGCACGAGACCTGATGGCAAGGTAGAACAAAAAGTAGTCGTTCAAGAAGACGAGCGAGAAGGATGGGGAAATAAGATCGAATATCTGTTGGCTACGATTGGATTCGCTGTTGGCTTTGGAAACGTATGGCGGTTCCCGTATCTGTGTCAGCAAAATGGCGGAGGTAGGAGGCCGGTACTATAGTACTAAATATTTTTACTCTATCATTGATAATATCACTACACTCACCAACAAAGTGCTACTCTAATCCCATCCAAATCAGCTTTCAAACTTGACTGTAACTCAAAAAAGCGACGAACAAATCAATGTTTTTTTAAACCAAACATTATTTCAACGCTCGTTGACTGAGGTTACGCGGATTTTAATGCATAGTAGTATTCAATAGCCGGGCACAGCAAGCCACAACTTCACACATTATACTCTTCTTTCACCCAATGGGGGTAACACCGTGTAATCCCCATTGGGTTAAAGTAGAGCACAGTGTGTGAGATTGTAGCTAACAAACATTATGTTATTGTATTGCCCTCAGCTTTTCAACATCTTTTTCAATTAGCGGCCGTGTATTTGATTTGAGAGCGATCTTGCATAAAAATCACGTCTTTGCTACGACTAAGATGTAAAAAAAAAAATTAGCAATCGCTAATATTTTTCAATTTTCAATAGAGGAAAACAATTAAGGATTTCAAAGTAGAAGTCTTCATTTATTAGTATGAAAGTGATTATGAACCGATCTTTCCTGATGCTTTAATCAGATGGCGGCTAGACGATATTAATACCGTTATACATGTTATTTACCGTTTGTTATTTTGAGTGAAGTTTTATTGTCAAAGTAATATATCATCAATCATTAATGACTATCACTTATGATCTTGGTGCTATCACTTATGATCTTGGTTTGTGTTTTATTGTAACTTGAGAGGTCTATAGGAGTGTATGAAATATTTATTTCCCGCTTTTTTTACTGGAGTGATAGGACACGCGTCGCTGCTGCCCACAGCTTGGTGCGACATACATGTTCATACTGACGCAATAGCTCAGCCCAATACATCTGTGTTTATGACTTCTGTCAATCAAAGAGACACCAACATACATTGTTGGGAATTTGACTGACGGAACCGAAAAGGACAGACATAGTTAACTGTCTGTGTTGCGTGAACATGTAAATGGTGTAAAGTGTTTGGACTGATTAATTTGACTTTGAAATGTCTCGTCACGCATTGTATACGCCACGGTGACTGACTCTCTATACTAATGGTGTCTGATACTAACTACACCCCTAATCACATGACTAACATATATTGCTTGTTAAACATTGGTTGCCTCGTCAATGATGATATAGAGTATTCTTTCAGTGGTATAATTCAATGTAGAATACGTTGCCTTTAGTGTATCCTGGTTAGTACTGCATGGATGAACGACCAATGAACCATGAATATCGTTAAGATGATTGCTTTCACTTAAAGCTAGTTTTCGCCAATCCAGCCACGACATAAAGACATGATGAATCTGAACAGGATGACAAAACAATATCATCATCATTATATGGCAAATATCATCAACACGACTAACAAATATCCCTTCCCCACCCCCCACAGGTGCATTCTTGATCCTTTACGCAGTGAGTCTTGTAGTGATGGGGATCCCATTATCATCCACACGGCTAACAAATATCCCTTCCCCACCCCCACAGGTGCATTCTTGATCCTTTACGCAGTGAGTCTTGTAGTGATGGGGATCCCATTATCATCCACACGGCTAACAAGTATCCCTTCCCCACCCCCCCACAGGTGCATTCTTGATCCCGTACGCAGTAAGTCTTGTAGTGATGGGGATCCCATTGTTCTTTCTGGAGCTTGCTATTGGTCAGAGTATTCGCAAAGGATCTATTGGTGTGTGGAACCACATCCATCCCTACCTGGGAGGGGTGGGGATCGCATCTGTGGTCCTGTCTTTACTCATTAGCACATACTACAATGTTCTACTGGGATGGTGTTTCTACTACATGTTCGCTTCGTTCCAAAGTCCACTTCCTTATTCTTCTTGTCCACAGACTAATGGTGAGTGAGTTAAATGATTCCTGACGATGCGGTTATAGTATGTTGGGTAATATTGATGATGACGATGATGATGATGGTGAGGATGTTGATGATGATGTTGATGATGATGGTAGAGGTGATAATGGTGATGATGGTGTTGATAATGATGGTAAGGTGATAATGGTGATGATGATGATGACGATGGTGATGCTGGTGGTGATGATGATGATGATGGTAATGGTGATGGTGGTGGTGATGATGATGGTAATGGTAATCGTGATAATGATCATGATGATGATGGCGATGATGATGATGGTGAAAGGTGATGATGATGGTACAAAGCAATGATGGTGAGGTGATGATAATAACAATGATGGTGATGATGATAATGGAGATGATGATGGTGGTTGTGATTAAAGATGATGATGATGATGGTACAAAGCGATAATGATGATGATAATGATACGTGATAATGATAACAGGCACAGTGCTCCCTGAATGTCACGTGGCCGGTAGAACCCAGTACTACTGGTACAACAAGGCGATCAGTGTATCATCATCCATCGAGGAAGGTGGTGGCTTGCAATGGCACCTTTGTCTTTGTCTTCTTCTCGCCTGGATTCTTGTCTTCTTCTGCATCATGAAGGGAGTCAAATCTGGAGGGAAGGTACGTCATTCTTACCACAGGTCACGCTACTCGTCACGATCTGATACAGTGTTTGGTGGTAACGCAATATTACCCTCTTTATACCATTAATGTATTTTTGTTCATCAGGCTGTCTACTTCACGGCTACCATGCCATACATCGTACTCACAATCTTCCTTGTCCGCGGGCTCACGCTGGACGGCTCGGTCGATGGAATCAAGTACATGTTCACACCAAAGGTATCCAAATGCTACTTGAAATCATTACCATATATGGTTATATCGTGATACCATCCAGAAAATGGGCTGGTCAGCGGTATGATGGTAAAACATCATGCGTGACTCAAATGGATTTCAGTGTGTTCAGTGACAAGTAAGTGATCCATTGCATATCACATCTTTTCTTGTTAGTTTGACAAGATTCTCAATCCTGTCGTGTGGTTACAAGCTGCTACACAGATCTTCTTCTCGCTTGGTGTTGGTTATGGTGGTCTGATCGCCATGTCCAGCTACAATCCCATCCACAATAACTGCAAAAGAGATGCCATTGCTGTCTCACTAGCTAATGGTGCCACCTCTCTTTATGCCACCATCATCATCTTTTCTGTTCTTGGATTTAAGGTACCTGTATGCAGTCATGGTTGCTATGCAATGAGACTATCACCATGTTCTCATGCAAATGTTTGTTCACCAGGCTCATCGTTCATACGAGGAGTGTCTTGACATGTATGGTGGAGTAAACAACACCAATCTGCCATTCAACATGACAGTAACAGACAAGTGTCACAACCTTGAAAACTGGTTGTCACAGGTGAGAGCAACCTCAGTCTTTAAGTACCCCACAAAACCTCCTTTAGTACCCCACAAAACCTCCTTTAGTACCCCACAAAACCTCCTTTAGTACCCCACAAAACCTCCTT